CCATATACACAAGGATTGAAATTCCCTGCAGATGGAACTCCAAAGGACAGCAGCTCTGCCTACGAGAGCCCTTTACAGCTATGTTTTTAAGTGAGTTTTTTATGATGTAGTCTCAATTCACCACTCACATGTTATTCTGCAGAAGCTGAAGTGTTATCGCCCAACATCAGGAACAGCTTAGGAGAAACGAGGATTTCTGCTCCTTGGAGTAAGCGTGGACATTCTGCTTAGAATACAAAGCACAAAAGAAGCTCCTAACAAAGAGAAATCAAGGAATGCCTCTTCCTGACATAATACCTGACTTAATGCCTTTACATCCAGAACAGTGACCTTATCTCATCAAGCGACCTTTTTCCAGTAGAAATAGGCACAGAACATACACAATAGACCCTGACAGTAATTTCCTTTCAATGCTCTAACGAGCACAGAATTATTTATCCATCTTGAAGTTATTCTCACTTCTCACTTGCCAACCAACTTAAACCCCTTACACCTTTACAGGCAAAGTAAAACAAAGTAATTTCACATTAGAGAGATTCCTAGCACTGGAAGTATTTGTAGCGTCCAAAACGTACATGTTCACAATTCTACCTACATACATTTTTAAAAAAACTCTTCTATAGTGAAAGAAAAACCACTGCGAAGCTATTTACAGGTGGCTGAAAACCATTCCAAAGCTCCAAACTGAGTTTTTCCTCAAAAGAACCTCAGCAACTCTTTTCAAGCGTGTGATATTTGTCCCACTAGGCAACGCTTGCAAGAACTCAGCTCTTTGCTCCAATCTTTATTTATGATAAACCTTGTCCTTGTGGGGGACTTCAACTTCCCAAACATCTGCTGGAATTAGGATACAGCAGATAGAGGGCAGTCCTGGAGGTTCCTGGAGTGTGTGGGAGATAACTTCCTGACACAGCTGGTGAGGGGAAGCACAACCCTGGACCCGCTGTTTGTTAACAGACAAGGTCTTGTGGGGGATGTGAAGGTTGGGGATGTAATGGCTGAAGGCTGCCTGGGGCACAGTGATCATGAGATGCTGGATTTCTTGATCCTTGCTGATCCTTGTAGAACTGCCACCTTGCACTTCTGGAGGGCAGACTTTAACCTCTTTAGGACCATGGGTGAGAGGGTCTCTTGTGAAGTAGCTTTGGAAGGTGTGGGAGCCCAGGAAGGCTGGGAATCCTTTAAGGAAGATATTGTAAAGGTGCAGGAGCTGAACATCCCCAAATCACGGAAGATGAGCCGACGGGCAAGGAGGCTGGATGGGCTGAACAGGGACATTTGGCTGGAACTCAAGAACAAAAGGAAAGTTTATGGTCTCTGGAAGAGTGGGCAAGCTACTTGTGATGATGACAGCTGTGCAGTGAAGCTGTGCAGGAAGAAAATCAGAAAAGCCAAAGCCCAGCTAGAACTGAACTTGGCCACTAAGGTAAAGGAAAACAATAAATATTTCTATACATACATCAACAGTAAGAGGAGGGCTAGGGAGAAGAGAATCTCCATCCCTTGTTGGATGCTGACGGCAACTTGGTGGCCAAGGATCAGGATGAGGCTGAGGTACTTAATGCCTTCTTTGCCTCATTCTTTAAGTGAGACTTGTTACTCCCTGGGCACACAGCCCCCTGCCCTGGTAGATAGGGATGGAGAGCAGAATAGGCCACACATAATTGACAGTGAGATGGTTTTGGACCTGCTTCAAAAGCTGGATGCTCACAAGATCATAGGGCCGGATGAATTGCACCCTAGGGTGCTGAGGGAGTTGGCGGATGTGGTTGCCATCATTCTTCAGCAGTCGTGGCTAACTGGGGATGTCACAGGGGATTGGAGACAGGCATATGTGATGCCCATCTTCAGAAAGGGCCGGAAAGATGATCCTGGTAGCTACAGACCTATCAGCTTTACCTTGGTGCCTGGGAAGGTTATGGCACAGATAATCTCAGGAGCCATCAAGGACCAATGAAAGGTCAACGAGGGATCAGGCCCAGTCAGCATGGGTTTATGAACGGTAGATCCTGCTTGACAAACCTGATTTCATTCTACGACAAGGTGACCCGCTTAGGGGATGAAGGTAAGGCTGTTGATATGGTCTACCTGGACTTCAGTAAGGCCTTGTCCCCCACAGCATCCTCGTGGAGAAGCTGGCTGCCCCACGGCTGGGATGGCTGTATGCTCTGCAAGCTGGATGGCCAGGCTCAAAGAGTTGTGGCCAGTGGAGTTAAAGCCAGTTGGCTGCCAGTCATGAGTGCTGTGCCCCAGGGCTCAGTACTGGGGCTGCTTTCATTTAACATCTTTATTAACGATCCTGATGAGAGGATTGGGTGCACCCTCAGTAAGTTTGCAGATGATACCAATTTGGGAGGGAATATCAATCTGTCTGAGGGAAGCAAGGCACTACAGAGGAACCTGGATAGACTGGATCAAGGGTGAAGGCAAACTGTATGAGTTTTAATAGGGCCAAGTGTTGGGTCCTGCATTTTGGTCACAACAACCACAGGCAACCCTATGGGCTTGGGGAGAAGTGGCTGGAAAGCTGCCTGATGGAAAGGGACCTTGGTGTACTGATGGGCTGAATATGAGCCAGCAGTGTGCCCGGGTGGCCATGAAGGCATCCTGGCTTGTATCAGGAATGGAGCGATGAGCAGCACTAGAGTAGTCACCCTGCCCTGTACTCAGCATTGCTGAGGCCTCACCTCGAGTGCTGTGTTCAGTTTTGGGCACCTCAGTACAGCAAGGACATGGAGGTGATGGAGCAGGTCCAAAGAAGGGCAGCAAGGCTGGGAAAGGGCTTGGAGAATATGGCCTGCAAGGAGAGGGAACTGGGGATGTTCAGTCTGGGGAAGAGGAGGCTGAGGGGAGACTTTATTGCTCTCTTCAAATACCTGAAAGGTGCTTACAGCAGAGTGCTGGTCTCTTCTCACTGGTGACAGGTGGGGAAATAGCCTCAAGTTGTGCCAGTGTAAATTTAGGCTGCATATCAGGAGACACTTATTTACAGAAAGGGTTGTTAAGCACTGCAATGGGCTGCCCAGGGAGGTGGTTGAGACACCATCCCTGGACGTATTTAAAATCCATTTGGATGTGATGCTCAGGGACATGACTTAGCAGAGGGCTGTTAGAGTTAGGGTAGGGTGGTTAGACTCAGTGACCTTGAGGGTCTTTTCCAACCTGAGCAATTCTACGATTCTATGATCTATGCACTCAACAGACGTATGCATGGAACTTACAGGGTGCACACACATGCGTAGAAACCCAGCCACACTGCTTCTTCCTTGCTGAGCCCAGGGAAATTTAAAACTTACTCGAAAGTGAAATAACCAGGCTCTGGAAAGCAAAAGCAATATAAGAGAGAGCAACATAAGAGAGTCATTGTTGGTGTTACAATCCACTTATCACGTTACATCACTTATTCTTTCACACACACGCATTTATCAAAGGAAGTGACATAAATCTGTGCACAAAAGCATAATACAGTGACATTTTCAGACCCAAATGGACATGGTCTCTGTGAGAATCTTCAACCTAAAACACCATTTAAAGACATACTTGCACTGTTCTAGCAAAAGAGCTGCAGTTCTCTGCAGGATTGCTTCCTTTCACACGTAAAGCTCTAGCAATAACCTAACAGGCTCCTCACTGCAGAAATGAGCTTTCCTCTAAAACAGAGTCATGAGGTGCAAGATGCTCCGGGGCACCAACAGAAGTGGTTTAGTGGGCATGGTGGTGATGGTTTGGTGGTTGGACTTGATGGTATGAGAGGTCTTCCCCAACTTCAGTGACTCTTATCAGTCTGTGAGCGGGCATGGTGCTGGTCCTTCCAATATCTGAAGGGAGCATGTAAGCAGAAGGGAGGAATGGCTGTTTACAAGGGTGGATAGTGACAGGACAAGGGGAAATGGTTTTAAACTGAGATGTGGCTCAGGGCAACCTGGTCTGGTGGCTGGCAACCCTGCACAGGGCGGTGATGAGCAGTGAAAGAAGGGGGTTATTCCATACAAAGGGCATCACGCAGAAGCCCATCAAACCTGAGCACTTGAAGATGTAGGATTTGGAAGACAAGCCGAAGCCAATTCACCTGCAGAACGGCCATTCACACAGTTCCAAAAAGGAGTCCAAATAAAGCAGAGATCAGCTCAGCTGCAATTACACCTGTTAGCCCTGTCCCTCTGCAGAGAAGAAAGAGCAGACAGCTATAACCCACCACGTTTTTTCAAGCTGCTGAAAGCAATTCCTTCCGTAAAAGCAGGGTGGGTTATTTTTTTAACCAACGTGGCACTCCTAGAGGTCACCCTTTTATTACTTTCCAAAGAACTGTGATCAAATTCCACCAGCCGCTGCAAATGTGGCAAGGAGATAAACACCGCAAACAAGTTCTCCTTAACACCACCCAGGAAAACGCATCCGTAACCAGCTCACAACTCCTGAGCCGCCACCAAGGCAGGCGCACAGCTGTAAAACGCAGCCAGCGTTAGCAAACAACAACGCATCGGGATGCTGCGAGGTTTGTCGTTTTCTTGTAACGTTATCAGAAAAGCGCAGCAGCGGACGCAGAAGCCTGAAAACAGCAAAAGGAAAGAGGGGAGGGCTGACTGGCGGGGCCGGCGGAGCAGCACAGCGCGGTCAGGTGCCGGCTCGGCCGCCCGGGGCAGCGCTCGGAGCCCCGCGAGAGAGAGGAGAAAGCATCGGAGAGCATCGGGAAGCAGGATTTGATTGCGGGCGGCCCTGCGCGCAGCCGGGGCTGCTTCCACCGGCTGGGTGCGCTTTCCCAACTAGGAAAACACCCCAAATCGCAGCCAGAGCGAGAAGAATTCGGGGGATTTTTAAGGCACGGACAGACAGACACGCACACACGGGGCAAGGACGACGAGTGCCTGGCGACGGACGCGGAGCAGCGGCGCGGAGCAGCGCTCATCCCGTGCCGGCACGCGTGGCACCGCGGGCGGCGAGCAGCCGATGCCCCTCTGCGCCCAACCGACCTCCCGACGGGCCGCCCCGCCCGCACTTACCTTCGCATTGGTACCCGGCCAGCCCCCAGATGAAATCGGTGCAGTAGTGGCAGAAGGTGGGCTTGGTGAGGGTCACCCTGCGGAAGCTGTGACCCGGCGGGATGGCGGACGGCGAAGAGGACGACGATGAAGACGAGACGCGGCCCCGCCCGCCCAGCACCGGGCTAGAAGCCGGGCTGCCGCCGAGCAGCGAGCGAGCTCCGTCCGCCATGCCCGCTCCTGGACGCACGGCAGCGGCCGCGGCAACAGCCGCCGCTCGGCTCGCTTCCGCCCGGAGCGGCGGCGGCGGCAGCGGGGGGGCGGAGGGGAGGGCGGAGGGTGGCGGGCGGAGGCGGCGCCGCGCGGGGCCTCGCGGAGCGGAACGGTGCTGCCCCCTGCCGGCCGCCAGGCAGCGCTGCAACGGGACCTGCCGGGAAACTGCTGGGAGAAGCCGCGCAGCGGGGTTTGTCCACGCGTTGCTCTTCTTCCCTGCCTCTGAAACGTTTCTTTTTATGTTCCTCTTAAACAGCGGGTTTGAGCGGGCTTCGGAGAAGCTCGTGAGGTTCAAAATATCCGAGAGCAAGGTGTTGTTGTAACTGGGAATGACGAGCCCTGCTACCAATATCAGCCAGGGCATGACGTAAGGATGGAGCACAGCCCTGCCAAAAAAGTCCTGGGGGGTACTGATGGATGACAGCTGTGTGCCTCGCAGCCCAGAGAGCCAACCATACCTTGGGCTGCTTCCAAAGAAGCGTGGCCAGCAGGGTGAGGGAGGAGATCCTGAGCATCTGCTCTGTGCTCTGCTCACCTGGAGCATCGCATCCAGATGTAGAGTCCATAGAACAGGAGAGATGTGGAGCTGTTGGAGTGCATTCAATCCTCAATGCCTTCTTTACATCTGCCTTTAGCCAGACCATTAGCCATTTTATGCCCTGATCTGGAAGTCTGGGACGCTACTCAGAAAGCACCCCCAGCGATTCAGGTGGAGACAATCAGAGAACTCCTCCTCCATCTGGACTGTCACAATCCATGGGACCGGATGGCTGCACCCTCGGGTGCTGAGGGAGCTGGCGGGGTGATTGCTGAGCCGCTCTCTGCCACCTACCAGCCATCCTGGTTAACTGGAGAGGTCCCAGAGGGTTGGAGGTTCGCTGATGTGACTCCCATCTTCAAGAAGGGCCGTAAGAAGGATCGGGGGAACGAAGGCCTGTCAGCCTGACCTCGGTACCGGGGAAAGTAATGGAGCAAATCATCTTGGGGGAGATCGCACGGCATGTGCGTGGTGTCCAGGGGATCAGGCCCAGCCAGCACGGGTTCATGAAAGGCAGGTCGTGCTTGACCAACCTCATCTCCTTTTATGACTGGGTGACCAGACTGGTAGATGAGGGAAAGGCTGTTGATGCAGTCTGCCTGGACTTCAGCAAAGCCTTTGACATGGTCTCTCACAGGCTTCTTCTGGAAACTGGCTGCCCATGGCTGGACAGGTACAGACTCCTTTGGGAAAGAAACTGGCTGGAGGGCCGTGCCAACGGGTGGTGGTTAATGGAGTGAAGTCCAGCTGGCGACCTGTTTCAAGTGGTGTCCCCCAGGGGTTGGTACTGGGGCCTATCTTGTTTAATATCTTTACTGATGACCTAGACGAGGGGATTGAGTGTACCCTCAGTAAGTTTGCAGATGACACCAAGCTGGGAGGTGGTGTGGATCTGCCTGAGGGTAGGGAGGCCCTTCAGAGGGACTCAGATAAGCTGGATCGCTGGGCTGAAGTGAATGGGATGAGGTTCAACAAGGCCAAGTGCCGGGTCCTGAACTTTGGCCACAACAACCCCATGCAGCGCTACAGGCTTGGGGATGAGTGGCTGGATGACTGTGAAGAGGAAAGGGACCTGGGGGTGTTGGTTGATGCTCAGCTGAACGTGAGCCAGCAGTGTGCCCGGGTGGCCAAAAGGGCCAGCGCCATCCTGGCCTGCATTAGAAATAGTGTGGCCAGCAGGAGCAGGGAGGTGATCATCCCCTGTACTCAGCTCTGGTGAGGCCGCACCTCGAGTGCTGTGTTCAGTTTTGGGCCCATCACTACAAAAAAGACATTGAGGCCCTGGAGCGTGTCCAGAGAAGGGCAACGAAACTGGTGAGGGGTCTGGAGCACAAGTCCTATGAGGAGCAGCTGAGGGAGCTGGGATTTTCAGTCTGGAGAAGAGGAGGCTCAAGGGAGACCTCACTGCACTCTACAACTTCCTGAAGGGAGGTTGTGGTGAGGAGGGGTTTGGCCTTTTCTCCCAGGCAACGAACAGGACCTAGGGAAATGGCTGCAAGTTGTACCAGAAGAGGTTTAGGTTAGACTTAAGGAAGAACTTCTTCTCTCAGAGAGTGGTCAGGCACTGGAATGGCTGCACAGGGAGGTGATGGAGTCGCCATCCCTGCAGTGTTCAGGAGAACTACCAGGATGGTTGGGGCTGGGGCACGTAACCTGGGAGGAAAGGTGAAGGAACAGGAACTGCTCATCCTTCGAAGGGTCCTCGTGGCAGTTCCCTATCCACAGTGAGGCTTCTGAGGAGATTTAGCAAGGCTCTTTACAGTGATGCGTGCTGGGAGGACAAGAGAAAATAGGGCTAATTTCAAACAAGAGGCCCTCAATCTGGATATAAGGACAAACTTTCCCACTGTGAAGACATTCCGGCAGAGAAGCGGGTTATCTGCAGAGCTTATCCCCTGTTTTGGGAACTTTTCAAGACATGACTGGTCAAGCCATGGGCAAACTGGTTTGACCTCATTTGCAAGGTCACGAATTAGAGTAGGAGAGAGCTCAGATGATCCTGGGATCCTGTTTTTAGAATGTTACGCTCAGCCATTTGAAATCTGAATGGAGCTCAGAACACGTGCAAGCATTATCTCTTACAGGGGTATGGCTGTGTTGTCATTTGCTATCAGCTCATGTAGTTCCTCAGGTTTTACCTCTGTGTGTACCAGACATTCACACGGGCCACTTGAATTCAGAGAAACTACAGGTATGATTAAATTCCGGTTGAACATGGAGAAGGGGAACCAAGACTAACAGAGTTCTGTGCACCCTGACATCTGCACGCCTCGACTCCCTCTTACTGTATTCTTTGTTCCTTTGGGACTTTGTTCCTCATTCAGGGAGGGAAACCCCTTCCCTATTTGCTTAACCACGTCATCATACTCCCATCATACCTACTTATAGAGACCTCTCTTTCTTTTTTTCCTCAAGAACATGTCTACAAAGCATCCTGCCTCTCCCATTCCATTAGCCTGACCTGCCTTTCTCTTTCCCATGGATTTTGCACTTTAACAGCCTTTTGTAGTGATCAAAGGACAGAGACTCAAGAGTTGGGGAGCTGAGGCTGCTGTGAACAACTCTTTCCTATGGTCAGGGAAATAACACGGAGCTGCATCAGAACTTGGCCCTGACTCAAAAGCTTGGGGAGGTAATTAATACATCTTTTTACAGAAATGTGGAAATCCATTTAGGGAACAGCAATTCAAATGCGTTACCATTGCAGGATTTTCAGTTTCTGTGCTAGAAGCCACCTGTAGAATGCTAGTTTGTATCTAAATATTTAAATGATCAAGTGAGATTTTGGATATTTTTTTTTCATGTCAAACTCCTCAGATGCATATTTAAGTGCTGTAACACGTAGGTATTTATGGCTTACATTTGTCATGTTTAAACTTCCATTATGTTTCCCGAGAAGCCAGCCTAATCAGTCAAAACAACCTAAACCATTTAATTGTCTTCAGCCACGTCTGCTTCCACCTCTGCTGCCAGCAGCCATGGAACGTGGCAGCATTTGAAGAACAGCCATTCTTTGCCTTTCAAATGTACAACAAGGACACAGTCCTCGACAGCTGAGAAGAGTAAGGTAAGGAATTATTAGCAGAGCTGTCACAGTGATGAATATGATAGCTCTCTAGAGGGATCTGTTATCAGCTCCTGACTCAGAGCTTGATCCTCTGAACTGCCATGTTTAACTGCAAAATTTCTGTCACCTTTATATTTGCACTTAGGATCCTCATCCAAAAAGAGAATAATGAAGTAGATAGAAGCAATTACAGCTTTTTTTTTTTTTTTTAATTTGCTATCAGGGTGTCCTTTATAAGCAAGGCATATACTGATCTTTATTAAACAAGTAAATAGATAAATAAATGAAAAAAAAATGGTATCCGTGCTCTTCTAGAGGAAGAAACAGCAGTTTTCCTGAATCAGAGAAGATGGAGTTGTATGCAGCTAGCACAAGTGTCGTGGGGATCTATGCAGCTAAAAGAATGAAGGCAGTTGCTTGCTTCAGAAGTGTCAAAGCAAAAACCTAGCCAGAAACAGTTTGTCTGAGGTCGTTGGATCATAGCAAAGCATGGAAAATGGATGCTGTCAGTCAAGGTCACAGTTGTAATTTCAGTCGTGGCACTGCTCTTCTCCTGCAGTTCTTCTAGAACAGAATTATCACCGGTTTCAAGCAGCAGTGCATTGCATATTTATATTTATTTCCGTGGAAACAACAACAGATGCAAAGAGCACAGTGATACTATTTGATAGAGCAAATGCTCAGCTACAAAAAACAAACAAACAAAAAAAACTGTTTTTTTGTTTTTTTTCTACGTTAGCTGAATCATGTGGAGGAACTCATTGGGACACTCTTCATTTTGTGGTATGACAGCTGTACATGGCTGTCTGGAACATGGCTTGCATTTCACATTGCTGACACCACTGCTGAAACACACCACCCAGCCCCTCACTGTGCTCACATTTACTGTTTGGGCTCCATAAATGTTCAGCAAGCATTGATGAATGTCAGCGGGTTCCATTTTTTTTTGCATGAAGGAATGCAGTGACATAACTTTGCTCCGTCTGCGTTTCCATGCCAGACACCATTCTGTCCAACTGCCCCTTTGCTGCCATCTGTCACAGAACAACAACATGAAATGGGATATTGGTGGGAAGGTTCAGCCTCTGCTGCCTCACCTCCAGCATCAGCTTCTGATGTCACGGGCCAACAAAACAGGAGGTATTACTTTTGGAGCAGCAGCTGTTGTACTCTTTTTTTTTTTTTTTTTAATTAAAGAAATGCCACACACAAATGAAAGGAAGCAACGTTCTGAAAGTGTCAATTTTCCATGTTTTGACAAGATTAGCAGATAAGATCAAAATGTAATTCTTCTGCGAATATCTTGCAATTTCTTTAATACTCAGGAAAGCATTTTGCAGTACTTAGCATTCTATAATGCCAAAAAGCTCCAGTGATAAAACTCTAGGTCTGGTCAAGAAAAAAAATCCTTCATTTTTCTAAGACTCTTGGC